ACTCCATTTTGTTGAGGAGTCCTAGGGGCAGAAAAATTATGATCTATACCATGCTCATCACAAAATTCAGCAAACTTAGCATTTTCAAATTCAGTTCCATGATCAGACCTGATTGATGCAAGTTGATTACCTAGTTGTTTCTGAGTTTTTCTAACAAAGGCAGTAAACATGTCAAATGCTTCGTCCTTAGATGTTAAAAACAGTACCCAGGTAAACCTAGAATAATCATTAACAAGTACCAACACATATTTCTTACCACCTCTGCTCAAAGTTCTCATTGGACCACAGAGATCCATATGAACCTGTTCCATCGTCCTGGTTGTGCTTACCATTTTCTTGCTTTTGAAAGATGATCTTACCTGCTTCCCCTTTGCACAAGCCTCACAAACTTTGTCTTCCCTGAACTTGATATTAGGTAACCCTATTACCAGGTCCTTGGAGACTAATTTGTTGAGTTGATTCAGACTTGCATGACCAAGTCTTTTGTGCCACAGCAGGGGATCATTGTCCAACACACTCAAGCAAGTGAGTTCATTTTCTGAAAGAGTGGACGAATCTACAATATAAATATTGTTAACTCTTTTTCCCTGCAAAACAATCTTGTTAGTGGTAAGATTAATCACAAAGCATTTGGTAGAGGTAAATGCTACAAGGTTACCTCTGTCACACAGTTGTGATACACTGATTAGGCTATATTTCAAGCCATCTATCAATTAGACATTCTCAGTGGAATGTGAGTCTGTCTTACCTACCTTTCCAACCCCAGTAATCTCACCCTTTTCCCATTTCCAAAGAAGACATTACCTCCTTTTAAGTTCTCAAGTGAAAGGAACTGGTTCTTGCTTCCAGTCATATGTTTTGAGCAGCCACTATCCATGTACCATATTTGGCTACTTCCCTTCACTTCGACCTCTTGTTCATCATCTGATTATCCGATGGACATAAGTGCTTGTTCATCTCCAGCTTGATATTCTGAATCCTCATCTGATGTTTCTCCCCAAGCAGCAACCATAGCCTTTGTTGATCCTTTGTTCCTTTTGGGTTGAACCTGTTCCTTCTTCCTGTTACTTCGTTCAGCCCTTTCTTTCTTCCATTCAATCTTCAGCTGAGGACAATTCTTGATCATGTGGTCAGTCTTGCCGCATTTGTAGCAGCCCTCGTTGGTCTGTTTCTCAGGAGCCCTTTTTTTGTTGAAGGTTGTACCTCTTGAAGAACCCTTTCATCTCATCAGGTACTTTTTGAAATCCCTTGTGATCATGGCCATTTCATCATCCTCTAGATCTGACTCTTCAGCTATTCTGAGAGCCAAACTCCTTTCCTTCTTGGGTGCATCCATTTTCATGGTTTGCCTTCTCAATTCATAGGCAGTGAGATTTCCAATCAGTTTATCCAACTTGAGAGTAGCAATGTTCTTTGATTCCTGAATAGCAGTGATTTTACTTTCCCAAGTTACTAGTAAGACCCTTGTCAAGATTTTCTCAACCTTGTCTTCTTCAAGGATAATTCTCCCAAGAGATTTAAGTTCATTTGTTAGTGTTGTGAACCTTGTGTACATCTCCTTGATAGTTTCTCCTTCCTTCATAGTGAAATTCTCATATTGAGAACATAGTAGTGTTCCTCTTGATCACTTTACTTGAGGAGTTCCTTCATGAGCCACTTGTAAAGTGTCCCATATCTCCTTAGCAGTGGTACAACTTTGAATCCTGCTGTATTCTTCTGGACCTAGTCCACACACAAGCCATTTCTTGGCCTTGGCATTCTTTTCCCATTTCTTCAAATCTTCAGCGGTGCAGTCATCTCTTGTCTTTGGCACGTCTACTTCTTCAGCATTCTTCTTTGTAGTAGCCAGGGGACCATCAGTGACTATGTCCTAGAGTTCATAGTCTTCTCCTATGATGCGGTCTCTCATCCTGTTCTTCCACCAAGAATAATACTGACCATTAAAGAGTGGGGGCCTAGCAGTGGATTGCGCTTCCCAGTTTCCAAGTGGTGCACTCATCTTGATCTTTTCATAAGGTTGTTAACCTCTTCAAGGATAACCTGCTCTGATACCAATTGATGTTTTACACTTCAATACCACACAAGAAGGGGGGGGGGGTGATTTGTGTGGTACCCAATTTTCGCTTAACTTGATTATAGAAGGACCTGGTTCTTCTATATGTTCCAACTACTACTGTTTGCGGAATAGTAAGTAAAGAAAATAAAGAACACAGAGATTTTTACGTGGAAAAGACCTGGCTCAAAAGGTGAAAAATCACGACCTACTACTCAGTAGGATTTTCCCAAACTTCCACTAAATTCACTGAGCCAAAAACTACATTTATAGAAAATCTTTTGTAAACCTAGGATTAACTCTAATCCCGTTGTGGCACACAGCCTCAACTGTTGCGACAACTTCAAGTTAACTCTAACTTGAACACTCTAAGTACCTAATACAGTTGCTTCTATAAAAGCTGAAAGGTACAATGTAAAATCACCTACTACAATTGAACTAGAATAAAAGATAGACACTTGGAACTGGTTCTTCTATCTTGTTCAAGTAGCTTCAGGATTGCACGCTTGAATCACACATAAATTGCTTGCAAAATTGCCTTGCTATTTTGCTCTCAGTTCATGTTTAACTTCTGCTTATGTGCATTACCTGTAAAAGAGAACAACACTGATATTTAAGGAGTTAGTAATTAGAGATTGACTGGGATACATACGCTATTCTTCTATGGTAAAAGAATTCTAGTTGATCTCATACTCTAACCCTATCCTCTTCCTAAACTGTGTTCTCTTTGTGTAAGGTGTCTTTCTCTCCTTATACAATATGCAACCTTTTCGATCAGATCAGGAGATATTACTTCTGATAAGTTAGATTTATCTCCTTCATGTGCATCTCACATGTTTGGGTTGATCATGTCTGTGCTTCACAAGATGGACCTGGTCCATGTCTGAGTTATTTTGTCAGTCTTCAAAACTACACCTTTACTTGGGCCAACAATTACCCTTCCCTACAATCAACCAAATAGTAGTTACCCCTTCCCAAACTAACTCTAGTCTAGGAAGCGAATAAAAACTCAAAGTTTCGGTACTAACTTATAATAACACTTCTGAAAAGCAAATAGGTTCCAATTTAGAACGATTGACTCAACCTAAATAACTAAAGAATTTCAGCAGCTTTGTTTACTGAACCAGGTTCATTAGTTGAGCAACTTGAATCTCCAAAAGCACCTTTTTGCCGAGATTGCTATTGTGAAGAATATTTATGAGAATTAGTTCGAATCATGAGTCTTGAATAGCTGTGGAAGGTCTTTTTATACAGGTGTGAGGTTGGCCGAAAATCTCCATAATTAATACTCTGAAACCTAGAATATTTCGGTTAACGAAAGCCCCTCCTATTTTGATTGAGTTTCCTTAATTATTCCAACTCCTCAACCATTTTCCTTTAATGCAAGTATCTTCATAATTATCGAATCTTTTCTGAATAAGAATTCCTCTAGTTAATGTTTTCCTTGTTGTGCGCGATTAGATTTCTTCTTGAGAAATCTAACTTGCACATGAATTTTGACTTTCTGCGTCTGATCATCAGCATTCTGCACTTCATCTGCTACAAACCTCGTTCTTGCACTTTTCATATAACATATCTGCGCGCTAGTTTAGTAGCATACAACATGTCAATGAACCTGGTTCTTTCATCACAGTTGATCTTGGTTTGTTAATCATCAAAACATAAAATGAGCTCAGCTCAACAATTTGACTCGGCATGAAGTTTTATAAAAAATAAAAAAAAGGACTTTTGAAAATTGTAGTAACGTTTACAACGTAAAAACTTTGTGGGACTATAATATTTGTGTGAATAAATTTTTTTTGTCGAAGATAAAATAGGTAGAAGGGAAAATAAAAATTGAAATCGAAGGGACTAATACAGAGATAAAAAGTAGTTCTTACACCTAGCTAGCTAATTGCACGAATGGATATTCGTTAAAATAGGCAATTGAAATTTATTTGTTATATGAGCAAACTCGTCGGAGATTTAAATATTTCAATTTCCTGGACGTGCATCCAGTTGATCTATGATCTTTATTCGGTATTCAAGATTCTAAAAATGTTATCCATTAGAAAAATGTAATTTAATTTCAGCCTTGAACTTTCTAAAATCCTTGTCCCTCTCCTAATATATCCTGCATGTTTAAAACATAGGTATATTCTTCAAAATGTCAAATATATATGGATTGCAGCATCAGCAAAATAACTTTTGATACAGATAGATTTCAGTATACATATGATTCGGAGACAGCGTTTCATGTGGAATACTTTGAAGCAAACTTTATATACAGATCGAGTCAAGTTTTTTGCTCAATAGATGTTATCCTAAAGTTAAAAAAGAAACTGACGACATGAAGTTAAGTTTTAAAGCTTTTTTTTTGAATCAGTATGATTTGCAAGTTTCCTGTAGTATTGTGGGTGAATTGACCATTCCTTACACCTAGTTTCTCTTTTTATTATCTGTTTATTCATCTATTTATAGGTATATTTATATAATCATATGTTAGTTGAGCCATACAGTTTCTGAAAGAAATATATACTCCATATCATCAGGAAGAGCAGTCTGGGTAATCTTTCATACGATGGCCAGCATTAATAATATTATTTCTTCTTCAGAAAACGATAGCCAAAATAATGGCATTGGTAAGAAACTAAGGGTCCATCAAAGTATAGAGAACCAGGTTCTCTACCAGTTTACACAGTAAACAAGGAGTAAACAAAGAACACACGATATTTACGTGGAAAACTCCAGGGATTAAAAACCACGACCTACTCACTACAAAAAAACTGAACAATTATGGCGTTATTAAAGTGGTGGTTATCAAAAACCGCCATTATAGCACTATAATAACGCAAATTTAAAGCCGCCAATGATGCATCCATAAAGCGGCGATTTTAGCATATTAAATGGCGGTTTAAAACTCCGCTATTTTTATTTTAGAATTTTCATACTTTTCTGGTTTATTTGGAGAAAGTGTATTTCTCACGCAAATTAGGACTCTCACTTTCCCAGTAAACGTTTTTTTCTCTCCCCTGCGGCGATTTATCAGATCGCCATAGCCGGCCGCTCTCTCTTTTCTCCTCTTCTACTCTCTCCTTTACTACTCCTCTTCTCGCTGAGGCCTTCAATTTCAAACGCCGTGACATTCAAGGCCAGTAGAACCTTTGAGTGGGAAGAAATGGCGAATCTGTGGTCTACGATGAAGCCCCCATAGAGTTTGCTAAACTCCGTCACCGTCACGCCTTCAGCAATTCAAACTCCTAACTCCAAATAAAGCTCAGTTAGGTCGTCTCTATTTTTATCTCCTTTCTGCTCTATATTGTTTATCTATTGATGTGGATCTAGGGTTTTATTGTTGGTTTGCTTTGCTCTATCAACATAGTTATTGGATGACAAACCTATTGTAATCTACTGTTCTGCATTTTGAGAGCCTATTGTTAATCAAAACAAAGGGGTTTAATGTGGTACTTTATATTCAACAGGAGGTGGTATTCCTATATCTAAAAGAGCAAAGGATTTGGTGACATTATTGGATATCAATATCCTGCCTTTACAGGTCAAAACTTCTGAAATACATAGTGGTGGAGTTTTGTTTTTCCAAATATCCAAAATTAGTGTTTCTTTCATTGATTTGGATCGTTTCCATGAGTTGGTATTCCTAGGATGTGTTACTTTCTCCTTGTCTTAAGGCCACTTCATTCATTTTATTTACTTATCTACAGGTTATACAGAGGCATACACCATTCGGATAGTTGAGGTAATCCTATTTGTTTCTTGTTAGATCTTCTAGCTTACTCTCCCCATTTAGATATAAAATTAAAATTAGTAGAAGGAAGCAGAGATCTCTATTATTTTGTACAGTAGGATCTTTTAATTGATAGAAAGGCAAACATGCCTTTGGTGGAATAATATCTTATAAATAATCACATCAATATAGTCTTCTAATGCTGATTTTGAAAGTCCATGTAAAAGACAAACTCTGCCAAAATGTACATTGACACAGGCACACCTATTCTGGATGTGCAAAAAGTGGTATATATATTGGCTAGCTATTAAATCAAGTGAGGTATACCTGGCTTTAGAGTGTGACTAGTCCGGTTGTAATTTCAAGTGATCTTTGGTGACCTTGGAGAAACTGTAAAAGAAATTTATGTTTTTCCTATTGAGAGTGTATATTAATCACTAACTTAAACTATATGAATCATGGTTCAGGGACTTAAGAACTTCAACAAATCAGCAAGAGAATTTATTCGATTCCTCAAAACTATTAAGTGTGACAATTATCATAAGATACCTGCCTTTCTCTCAAGTAGCTCAAGTAATTGCTATCTCTCTTCTTGCTTGCCATTTTTATTATTCGTAGAGTTTCTTTGCTTTATTGAAGATTGCAGTAACTCAAAACCTCTATGGTAATCAAACTTTTCACTTGTTCTTTTTCGATAGAACTTTTTCTTTTTATTTCAAGCTCAGGCAATGGATTTTCTGCTTTTGGAAAAATTTCAACATGTTAGTATAGTTAGTAGTAGTATTGACTAGAATAAATATCATATTGACGGTATTGTTGTTTCGCGCTATCCTAGTATTTGCTAGGCAACTGCACAAATATTCATCACTTGCTGATTTAATAATCTTCTTTACGTGCATATTATTTGTGCACCAACACCTGTATAATATCTTCGTGTCTTTCAATTTTCGATTTTTCTCTCATTCTGCTGTATTCTTTTCTTTTTCTTTCGTTTGGGTTATGTTCTTTTTGAACTGAAGGCATTCAAAACATATAGCAAAGCTGAAGTTGCGCTGCATAACAAGAGGATTGACTGCTGGATCATTATCAAAGAAAAGGTTTTATTAAATTTCTCTACTTGACCACCTTATTTTTGTTCATGTTAACTACGATAGTGATGGCATTTTCATTCCAGTCTTACTGCAGAAAAGAGCAAAAGATAAAAGTATAAATTGCCCCAGCAAATGGTACTTATTTAGCGACGTATTTCTTGCAGGTACTTGATTCAAGAAGTGGACGGCACTTGAAGATGTTCAAACGGGAGTAATAATGCGTAGTATGCGTGCGACCATTAGTCATTATTGTTAGGATTGACTTATGTTTTCCTTTAATCTTGTTAAGTGGTAGTTCTTTGATATATTAACATAATTCGTATTGTAATTTTACACCACTTAATGTTCTTTTTAATATAATGAATATTTTACTTGATTTTTCCTTTATATCTGTGTCAAAATTATCATAAAGAAGTGATAAACATGCATGTGTGACATTGAAAGGCAAAATTTACCGTAATAAATAAGTGAAGATATAAATAATATTGACGCTTTATACATGCGAAACATGCCATTTCAATTAACTGGACAATTTGTATATTGTGGCGGTTTCAACAACCATCCAAAACCGCCGTTATACAAACTTGTGAATTATGACGGTTACCAAAAAAGCGCCGTATAATCTTTTTGGCGAACGTGATTTCGGCGGTTTCATGAACTGCCATTAATACATAGAAATGCACATTGCGGCGGTTCGAAACCGCCATTATATGAAGAAGTAACCGCCGCAAATACCTCCTGTTTTTCTAGTGACTGTAGGGGGATTTCAACTCCACTAAAACTGGCAAACTTCAGATTACAACCTATTGCAACCCCACGATATCTTTTGTCTTTTGAGGTTGGCCCTTCATTCAAACTCTGATAACTCTACCCTTGCCCTTTTGGAGAAACCAGGTTCCTCTCTAGTACTCTGCATCTTCCTCTAAGGCTTCTTCTTCTTCACTTTCTCTTTTCCCACTCTTTTTTCCTCCTCCACTTCATCAGCAGCATCACTCATAATTTCTTTCTCAGACACCTGTTCTTTCCCTTAGTAGTAACACTTTTCTTTGAATATTTTCTAACAAGAGGAGGTGTGTCCTTCATGGGCTCCTCATCATCATCTTCCACCACATCTGCTGGTGGCACATCTTCCTCATCACCAAGCCTGCTCTTCACTAGTCTCTTTTTCTTCTTCCTTTCTTTACTTGCCTTTAGAGCATTATCAAACTCAACCCTGCTCTATTGTCTAGTACTGGGGCATTTTCGGACAGTGCTCTTCTTAGTTTTACCACTAACCCTAGCATTCAAAAAGCGTACCACTAGTAGATCATCATAGGCAACTTCCTCACTCCCAGCAGAATTACACTCAGACTCAGACCTCATTTTCGGATACACAATGTCTACGGCATAGTAATGGGAAGGTTAAGTGGGGGGGGGGGGGTGTCAGCACTGTTCATGGGAGGTATTGTAGAACCTGGTGTTTCATCCCAAGTGTGAGCAGAAGCCTCCCCTTGGGCAGAGGGATGAGGTCCCTCTATAGGTTCCCTTATAATACTGACATGCACATGTTGCCTTTGACTCACCTGTTCCCCCTCACCCTGTTCTCCATGACTCAGTAGTTCCCCCTGAGTCCCTGCACCGCCACCACCAGTCATTGAACCCTCAACCAAACTGTCCATAACAACAGACTCCTTTTCAAGAGGTGTAGATCCCTCATTGTCTATAGCATTCAAATTTCCCTCAACCTCTGTACACAAGGCTTCTTTAAAACTAGAGGAGGGTGGAGGGTTACCTCATATAGAAGAGACTTTTCGAACATTTTGCTCAGCAGCAGTAGAAATCGACTGGTCCTCCATTCTTACTTTCTCTATCACAGTAGGTTGACTAGACAGTTCTACACCATCATCGTCTTCTACAATTTCCTCAGTAGTTTGAAGAAACTGAGAAGTGGATATTGAGTGGTTTGAGTCGACTTTCTCAGTAGGAGTTGAAGGAGAAGGAGAGGAAACAAATTTTTGGGCATTTGGCTTTTTGGACTTCTCTGGGGACCAGAACCAGAAGGTTTGGGAGGAGTGACAATAAGGCTGGTTTCGACGGAAATTCGGGCTTTTGTGGGTAAGGTGGTTGGCTCAGATCCAGATGGAGGTGTCTCTTTAAATGGAGATGAGGCTGGGTTGTCTTCAGTCATTTTGGGAGATGGAGTTTCTGGTTGAGACATGTTCGATATTAGATGCAAGAAGACAAGAAGAAGATGGTTTGATAATGAGAGAAAAAATGTGTTCTGTGTTTGAAGTGAGGAAACAAACAAAATTTTAGGTTTATAAAGTGAAAGGGGACTAGTTACAAATGGGTGTGAGAGAAAGAAATGGGTCAATGGGTCGATTCGAAAGGGTTGTAACATTTGGGCTTAAAAGACATTTAGAAGAAGCGGGAACGACATAATGACATGGCACTTAGTAGTTTAAAATGCAAATAAGTGTAAAAAGAACTACTAACTTGAGTCATAGGAACAAGCTTCCTTGACAACCCCAAAGATGTGAGCAAAAACTCTAATGTGTGTAATGTCATTTGTCACTTGTTTTGTCTTGAATCTGCCATACGTTTCTACCTGTAACAATATAGAGTTGAGTTACATGTTTCCAGAATATACTTTTTATCATTGTACCCTTCTTTACATAGCCAATCATCTGGGGACTAGTTCCTCAATTGAGTTTGATCAACCCCAACTCCAGACGATTTCTCTCAAAGTGTTCTCTGCTTAGTGCTTTGGTGAAGATATCTTCTACCATTTCCTCCGTCTTGCAAAATTTCATAGAAATAAGCCCATTTTACATTGTCCCTCAAGAAGTGATATCGCACATCAATGTGCTTTTTCCTCTTGTGATGCGTGAGGTTCTTTTCCATATAGAGAGCACTTGTGCTATCACAAAACAATGGCACACAATCAGTAAAAACACCAAAATTTTCTCGTTGTTGCTTGATCCATAGCAGTTGAGCATAACAGGAGGCTGCAACCACATATTTAGCTTCAGCAGTAGAAAGAGCCATAGAGTTTTGTTTCTTCTTGTAACTCATGAGATCAAGCATGACCCCAGAAAATGTGCCATTCCAGATGTACTCTTTCTATCTACCAAATATCCCGCATAATCAGTATGATCATAGCTAATTAGGTCAAAATTATATCCTAAGAGATAGAAAAGGACTAGATCCTGTGTTCCCTTGAGATACCTCAGGCTTCTCTTGGCAGCCTTCAAATGAGATTCTCTTGGGCTTGATTGAAATCTAGCACACAACCCAGCACTAAAGATAATGTCAGGTCTGCTAGCCGTCAGATACAGTAGAGATCCAATAATACCCCTATACATAGTTTCATTGATAGGAGAACCAGGTCCATCCATGTCCAGGTGAGTAGCAGTAGCAATGGTAGTATCAATGGTCTTGGAATTTTCCATCTCAAATCTTTTCAGCAACTCTTTGATGTACCTTTGTTGACTTATCATGGTCCCTTTAAGGTTTGCTTTACTTGCAACCTAAGTAAATATTTTTAGCTCACCCATCATACTCATCTCAAATTTACTTCCCATGAGCTTTGCAAACTCCTCATAAAGGGAATCATTTGTTGCACAAAAAATGATATCATCAACATAGAATTGCACAATCAACAAATTGCTACCTCTTTTCTTCAGAAATAGAGCATTGTTAATTTTCCCTCTAGTGAAGCCATTCTCAAGAAGGGACTTGGACAATCTCTCATACCATGCACGAGGGGCCTGATTCAAATCGTATAGAGCTTTGTCAAGCTTGTAGACATGTTCAGGATGTTCATGACATTCAAAGTCAGGTGGTTGCTTGACAAATACTTTCTCCTTCAAATATCCATTCAGAAATGCACTTTTAACATCCATTTGGAATAATTTGAATTCCATATGAGATGCAAAAGCTTCGAGAATTCTGATGGCCTCCATTCGAGCAACATGAGCAAATGTTTCATCATGTCAATCCCTTCTTCTTAATTGTATCCCTGGATCACTAGACTAGCTTTGTTTCTTGTTGTATTTCCAAACTCATCAAGCTTGTTTCTGAATATCCACCTGGTTCCAATCACAGTTTTGTTTGAGGGTCAGGGAGCCAGGTGCCACACCTTGTTTCTCTCGAACTGATGAAGCTCTTCTTGAATAGCAGCAATCCAGTCAGCATCCTTCAATGCTTCCTTAATATTTTTAGGCTCTATTTGAGATAAGAAGGCTGAGAAGGCAAACATATTCTTGCCTTAGATCTAGTTTGAATACCAAGAGTCCAAGGGTATGATCACATTTCGAAGAGGATGTGAACTCCTATGCTTCCAGTTAGATACTTGAATTTTGGAATACCAGGGACCAGGTTCCTCCATATTTGATCAATCATTAACATCAACAGAATTATGACTTCCACTCATTTGTTAGCAACCCTGTGTTTAGCTTCAATCGGGTTGATAGAGGGACCGGGTTCCTCTATCTCTGCTGTATCTTCTTCATTACTTTGCTTGACTTGACTCATCAAATAAGTCTTTCCATTGGAAATATTTATGGCTTCTCCAGGAACCTTTGAGAAATCTCCATCTTTATCTTCCTTATCATGTGATCCTTTCCCACTAGATTCGTGGGATTCATCAAAAATCACATGCACACTTTCTTCTACACGTTGAGTGTTTTTGTTGTAGACTTTGTATGCCTTGCTTTGAAAGGAGGAACTAAGAAAGATACCTTCATCACTTTTTGCATCAAAATTTCCCATATCTTCCTTACCATTGTTGAGAATAAAACATTTGCATCCAAACGCTCTTAGATTTGTTAGCTTGGGGTTTCTCCCATTGAGCAGTTCATAGGGAGTCTTGTCAAGTAGGAACCTGATCATGCACATTTTAATCAAGTAACAGGCAGTGTTTACTGCTTCAGCCCAAAAACTCTTTGGCACACCACTGTCGATCAACATTGTTCAAGCCATATCCTCAAGCTCCACAACACCATTTTGTTGAGGTGTTCTAGGAGTAAAAATTGTGACTTATACCATTTTCAGCACAAAATTCATCAAACTTGGCATTGTCAAACTCAGTGCCATGATCAAATCTGATACTCACATCATTATATCCTATCTTCACTTGAATCTACTTCACAAATGCAACAAATACTGGAAAGATTTCATCTTTGGTCCTCAGAAATAATGTCCAAGTGAATCTAGAATAGTCATCCACAATCACAAATATGTACTTCTTTCCTCCTCTCCTAGGTATCCTCATAGGTCAACAAAGATCCATATGAAAAAGATCAGTG